CCTATTTCTGTGTAAAAAATGTTATGTCAGTGTCTGGTTTTACCCAATCCAAATAGCAGTTTGCTTCACATAAACTTTCTGTCCCAGTCTTTTTGTTGAAGAATAAATAGCCTAAGTTCAATCAATTCACTATTTGCATGAGAATATGCAGGTAAAAGAGGTATTTTTCACAAAATGATGAATGCTGTGGAGCATGCAATCTGCAATAGCAATTTTAAACAGTAGGCTCAATTGTAGCAAAAACAGAAGATAGCATGGACACTAAATCCAAAAGTGTTGTGTTGTTTATTTTTGCTGATCATGATTAGGATCTGAAGCCTGAAGTTCTTTTTACGAGGCCCACTGTGGCTATTACAAGATTGAATTACATGTCCCTTATTGAGTATCTACCTTGGTTTATCTTGACAGCCTGTCAACAACATCCAATCTATGTGCAATTTGGAGGTGTGTGCTTCTCTACATTTCACAGGGTCCTCTGGGTGCAGAGTAGTACATATTTTTGTTTGTGTAAGGAGCCTAAAACATCCAACAGTTTTTATTATACTTTGTATTATATTTGTATATTTGTAGATTGTTAAACATTTCTCTAGACTCTGGTTGCACAACGTGAAGCGGTTTGATTTCACAGAGATAGATATTTTATTTTTTAAATTGTGGTACATAGGCTGGGTTTATGAGAATGAGAGATATTTGCTCTCTCAAATACCTTTGATTCCTACTACATGTTTCAAAGTAATTTCAAGCTGGAGATGAGTTTATATGTGCTGTATATTTTTATATGAACATTTTTGGTCCGCAAGACTTTTTGTACATTTATCTAGTTCTCTTCACTTCTATCAAAAACCAGGCCTTAACCAAAACAAGTACATGTATCAGATCTTGACAGCATCTCATTAAGTGATTACCTGATGCTTCTTTACACCAGTAAAATCAATATTTTTTAATGGATTAGCCAGCAGAGTAATAAAATAGATTTTAATTGATTATGCTGGTGGTTTGTCATTACCTCAGTCTTTGATATGCCAGGAATTAGCTGATGTCAGAGTAGACATTCAAGTTAAAGTGACATTGTGGCTTTTCAACTGAATTAAGGTGACAGTTTTGGCAGCAAAGGCTTACTGAAGGAATTAGAAAGTGTCACTCATTTTAACTGATTGAAGTATTTATTGTCCCGCTTGTTTTAATTTGATTATTCCAGGTGAACAGAAATCATAATCAAGCATTTTTTGCTTTGTTCAACTTATCAGCAACTTAAAAGTTAAATTTTTTCAATTACTTAATTTAGTAATGTTTTTGCTTATTTTTCCTTTTTGGTCTTTTCTCCTGCCTCCCTCTTTGCCACAGGCAGAATTTAGCATTGGAGTAGAAACAGCCTCGCTCTTCCATGCTTCATCATCTGTGGTTTGTGTCAGACCCAGACAGTCATCAGGAAAGGTCAAAGCTTTGGTAAAAGATTTAAATCAGCCCAAAGAAGAAAAAATTACCCTGACAGACTGAGGCTGAAAACTGGTAAATAAGAAAGCAAGCAGAGACTCATTCTTCATCACTTAAATCAAGGACAAACAGGGTATTGTATTTCAAAGTAAGGGTTTTGTGTGCCGTCTTAATATGATTGTATGATTATTTCAAAAAACACACAAGGAACCCTGTTTCTATTGTCCCTCTCTTCAGATCTATTAATTGTTTTTCTCTCTGATTTGAGGTGATCTTGACATAGCTGCCAGCAGCAACATATTTCTAAATAAAACTTGACAGGGTGAGTGTGGAAAAACAAACTGCTGGCTCACTTTCGGCAGTGGAAGAAATTGACATATGGGGTTATTCTTTGATACAGCTCTGAGCTGTTTTGTATTCATTCAGTTGCTTGAGCTTCTAGTGGGCCGTTTATCTTTTATTTATTTTTATATTTGTCTTCTTATTATATTAATACTCTCGCCACACCTTCTGATAAATGCAAGAACGGAAGCATGTATTCAGCTTGTTTTGAGGACAAAGTAGGATATTTGGAAAAAAAATAGTGTTTATTAATGTACTTAAAAAGATGAATGTGAAAAAGAAACACACAGAGCAAAGCCTATGCATCATAATATATTAGCTTACAGAAGTAAAGAATAATGAAACTATTTTAAGCTAAAAAGCCATGCTTGAATAATATGTTCGCTGCAAAATGCAACAAAGCATGAACTATTACTAGGTGGTTACTAGGTGGTTCTTTGGAAAAGACATCCATAAATATTTGTTGTGTTTTTGCTCTTTAGTTTATAAAAATAGTCATAGTTTAGCATGTTTTCCTGTTTTTTTTTTTTTTTTTTTTGTGGATGTCTCTTTTGTTTTGTAAATAGTCACTTAAGATTAGGCATTTGCTAAATCGGAGTCCCAGTCTAGTAAGTGAAAAATATCAAAGCTATATATATGCTTGGAAACTCATTAGCTATAAAGGGCAGTAAAATAACACTAGATTTCATTAATATTACATAGTCTACATTATTATTATGATTGTGTCCCACTTAATTCACTCACCAGTGATGTTGCAGAAGCCACATTATCTGCTTTTCTTGAAACTCTTGGGTTTTCTTTTTCCAACTGTGGCTTTTATCTGACAAAAATATGCTGATCCACATGGGTTTAACTAGGTTAAGAAAGCTACTGCAAAGTTCTGATAAAAAGTCACCTAATATGTGAGATTTAATTGGTTTCAACATGTGTGTTTGTATGTCTAACTCCACTCAGTTTGAAACCTTGCCCCTTCTGGCAATGGTTTATGTTTCCAGAAGAAAGCCAGAATTACTATATGAACTTTATGTTTTGATGTCAAAAGCGGTTCTATCTAACTGTGTTCTGACAAAACTTATAAGGTTGATCGACTTCCTCAAAATCTCATGTCTCGTGTTTCATCTGCTGTCTGTGTAAATTTGATAGTAACAAAGCACTATTCTGGGCTGGTGTTAGACCTTATGATCCAAATAGGAGCTCACAAGGCAGCTTTGACATAGCTAACACTTTTAGTCATGTCAAATCTAATTATTATTATTATTATTATTTTTTTTATTTTTTCTTACAATTTTGTGTCTGAAGGATAGACACATATTGTCAACAGTGAACTGTTGAAATACCATACCGACTGTGAGCATGCTGCACTAGGCTCAGTAATGCGGCATAGAGTGTTAGTCCAGCAACTGTGCGTCATTGCATCTGTTTGCTCCAACTTTCAACTTCATCAATTTGGTGTTACGTACATAATAGTTTGATTCCAGCACTGTTTCCCACCAAGCAGCTTACAGGGTATGCATCGTAAAAACTGTTCTTCATGTAGACAACCATTTGAGGACTTGAGTATGAGAGAGCCTTAGCAGATGCACTATTTTCGTAAATAGTGCATCTGCTCTATTGCTATACATTGTAACCCTCCACATTTAGCTCTCATTGTATACATAAATACATGAGTCTAAATGAGTATAATTCAGTGACATTCATTTGCAGCTTAGGCAGAGAGATGCTAACTGTTGCTGAAAAGGGAGAACAAGCAGCGTGCTTTTGGACAACTTAGTGGCTCGCCATAGCATCTCCTACTTATTGAGGAGTGAGAGAACATTTCATTTATTCAAATCATTTTTCTGGTGTCTCCAATAAGAAAGATTATTGAGGGACCAGAGAATGGAGCAGCCAAAATGTTCTTTCTTTACAGTGAACATTATTTTTATTTAAACTTTTACAGTTAGGCTTTACTGGTCTTTACTGAAAAGTAAATTGACAGAAAATAGGGTTGAGAGAAAACGGGAAGACATGCCGTAAATGGCCTGAGACAGGGAATCGAACCCAGGACAACCGCTCCGAGGATTGTAGCCTTTGCTGACTTTACTATCTGAGGCACAAAATGCCTTGTGATTGTCATTTTAATTGGTAAAAACAATTAGTTTATTTTGAAGAACTGCTTATATTAACATGCATGACCTATAATACAGATATGCAAGCCAAGCTCACAAATAGGCCATTTGTAGAAACTTTTTTTGTCAAAGCACAGCTGCTTGTTGGGGAACATTGTGGGTGTTGCTGGCATAGAATCACAGACAGAACATCATTAACGGGAAATGGGAGTTAAACTTAATCAGATTCTGATAGAGATAGCTTTAAGACATTGTTATTGGAACCCAAGTATCAGCCTGTCCCATCCATTTTTGTGAATATGTGTCTCTGCTTTTGAGTAGTGGAATGTTCTGCTGTTGATCCAGATGTAACTGGGGTTTATGTTAGGCACCGAAGAAATACTTGGATCTCAGTTGGCAGTTAAAACTCTCAGGTTTGCTATCTTGTCTACTCGGTCTAAATAAAGAAATGTCATAAATTTATGTATAAATTTAAGCTGTAGGCAACAGACAGAATCAGGCTTTAGTTAGATATTCGTGTGTTATTAGGTAACATGCTCTACTGTACCTATGAATTTACATGAGTGGGTTTCACTGTTCCCCTTTGGCAAAATAAGCTAACTACTGGTGTTATAAATACTGACTATTAATAGCCTCTTTCCCAAATGAAATTTTACCAGACATCATCTTTAACACACTGTGATCCTGACTTTTCTTCAAATATATATTTGAACTATATATATTGGAGACTTTAGAAGCCTGTTGTTTAAAAACAGCAACTTTATCTTGTATAACTGTGTGTGCGTTGTAAATGGGAGCTGCATCAGTATTCACATTGTAGTTGTACATTAGCATTTTCTGTAATGCTGTTCTGTAAATTGCTTCTCCTGGGAACAAACAGGTGAAGGCAAACAGAGGTAAACAGTCTGTATTCAAAGGTAAATGTTGTGTGTCCCATAATGCCTGCAGTTTAATGCACAATGATGCTACAGAAATCATACAGTTGTGTTTGGAATTAAAGATAAACATAATCATGGCGACGTCTTCACAATCCTGTTAGAAACTCAAATGTGATTGTTTTTTGGTTGCATATTAATGACTACTTTGTTCTTTTTTTTCTTCTTTTTTTTTGCACAGGCCTTCCCATGCATTTCCACAGGCATCTATGGTAAGCGTTAAATGTTCCTCATAATGATTTATTTCCTTTGCATGTTCTACATATATTTTTATCACATAACTTTCCAAACAGTATTGTTTCTGTATAAATTATGGCTATCATTTTAAAACAAAACTATTTTTTTCATCATATAAAAGGAAAAGTAGAGTAAAAAAAAAAGTTGACAAATAAAGACACATGGCTTTTGTCCTCTCAAGGGGCCAAAGCAAATTTTCTGGAAGGCAACCCTGGAAAAGAGTAGGTGTGCTCATTGCACTTAAACAAAGTCACTTGCAAAATGTCACAGAAGAAAACTTTACAGCTGTTGGGATAAACTGAATTATGAGTTCTTTGTCGAAACAAAGTTTGATAGAAGAAAATTAGTTGGTGCTGTTTAGAGAAATTTTAATTTCCCCTGTGGAGACGATTGTTTTTTTCCTTGTCATCATGCAGTTTATTATTTGCATTGGATTAGCATACAGCTTCAATAATATCAGCAGGAGCCAAATGTTTATGGATTAATTAACATGCTAATCTTCCTTGTCAGTAACTGACAATAAGTCAGCTCTATTGTAGTTCAAGTAGACAGTGACAACTTCTGTAAAATTGAGCACAATTTTGAAATGGAAAAAAAAACAAAAACCAAGATGTTAGTCAGTCCAGAACAACATTTCTGAGCACAACAATGAGTAAAAAAAAAAAAAAAAAAAAAAAAAAAAAAAAAAGAAAGAAAAAAGAAAAATGAAAGCATCATAAGTCAAATTTTTGTTAAATAATTGGACTTATGATACTTTCATTTTGAAGTCTTTGTTAAAAACACTGCAGTGCTAACAACAAATAAATAAATTTTCTTCCAGCTGGAACACGTTCATATTTCACCAAAGCTTAGTTTAATTGAGTAAGGCGTCTTTTACTACTGTGGCATAATGTGACATTAAAATACAAATAATTATTGAAATCACAGTTGGCACAATTATTGATTCCTCTGTCTTTTTAAAATAGATGCTACTGAAACATTCCTCATACTTTATTTATTAAGCTGATCAAAGTTTGCTAGAATTTCCAATTAGCAATTAATGAATTTCTCTGTGTTTCTCTGGGGTATAAAAGGGACATAACAGTCCAATTTGTTTGAGCCACTGGCAACAAGGCTGGACATTAACACAAGTTTCCTCAAAGGAAAATAGCAAAAAGGAAAAAAAAAAGACAACAAACAAACAAACAAATGAACTGCCAAACTCACTTTGAGAATTGTTGCAAAAGTCTCCATGACAGTTATTGTATAACATTTACATGCCAATTGGTTGTTTGGGAGGTATGATGCATTTTTTTTTTTTTTTTTGCCTACCATAAAAAAAAATAAGCATGCTGATTTTGCTCAAACCTATGTAGATTTTCAGTTGAAACTGTGTCCTTTGGCCAGACAAAACTTAAATTGAACTTTTTAGCCACAAACACGTTTTGTGGGTGAGGAGTGAAGAAAAGAATAAACGTGTGGAAAACGCATAACTTAACATGCTGATAGATTTATGATGCTTTTTTCTTTTTTAAAAAACCAGAGGGAATCATAGTAAAGTGTGAGGTATCATTAATATTGAAATATTAGGAGATTTTAAATAAACACTGAAGAAAGGATGACTGTTGAGACAAATCAGGAAGTGGGTCATTTCTGGGTCAATTTAACAAGATGGTGATCCAAATTACATGTCCAGAAGAGAGACTGTGCTAAAAGCAATGGTCATAGATCTCCCCTTTCTGTAAGCTTATGAAATATTAATTTAGAGCATATTTTTCTCGTGATTTTTGTGTGACATAATGGTACTTTAGATATCTTTACAGGGAGCGGGGGTGCAATAAAAATGACTAATGCTATTTGTACTTTCAAACAATGCACTCCCTTTAATTTAAAGGACAAATTCTAATTAATAATATTAATTAATAAACGAGAACATTTAACCATGGAATTATCTGTGTTGTAAAATAAAAAAGCAATGCTTACATACGCAGATAGACACATGTGCAAAACTGGAATCACTCACAAAGGTCTAGTAAAGGGGCCTGGGTCCACAGACAGACTACATCTGTTTATTTTCTCCTAATAGTCATTAAAAAAGATGCAATTTCCAACCAAAGCCATCACCTTTCCTTCTTTATTAAATCGGCACTATAACTAACCAGCAGCTGTCACCGAGGGACACTAAATTACTAAACGCAGAGGAGCACTGATTACACAGCCTGACAGACTTTGGCAGTGCTCATTAAACCGGCTGAAACTTCCCTGAATGTTAATGGCTACAAAATGTTCATGCTTCCACATGCAGTGCTAAATTTTCTTCTTAGTATAGAGCAGTGTGTGTTGTAAAACATACTTCTGAATTACCAGATGTTTATACCTATATTATCTTCAGAGTTAATACTTTCTTCAGTGTTTGCTTTTTTTTACGTGTAATTTCTTTTTGTCGCACTGCACAACATACCTTTTTTTAGTTTTTATTTATGAGCACGTCTGAAAATGTTATTACTGAACACCTAAGGATATAATCACTTTATGTTTCTAGCTGCTTCTCATTTTTTTGTTCTGTTTTTGTTATACAACTTTGGTGTTAGTGACAGATTCCATACATTGTACAACAGATCCTCATTACTTTTATCCAATGATGGATGTTATGAAGTATCAAAGAGTTGCTTACACACATTCTGCTATGGGAACACAAAGGCTGTCCTAGAGCATGCACGACAAAGAGAGCTGTAGTTTGCTGTGTATTCTGCTGCTGCTGACTATTCCACAACTTATTGCTGTTTATTGTTGTACTATGTGCTGCTTCACCAGTGGGAGCCTGCCGTAGCACTCCACCAGGAGCGCCCTAACATCAAAGAATAGTGTCTGCAGAGCCAAGCATGCAGTAGTGGGGAGGAATTAAACAGCCTGTTCAATAAATAAACAGCTTAGCGCTTCCCATAACTGCATCTTCACAGAACAATACAGCTGATTAAGACTAAAGATCCTCACACAGCAGAGGGCAAATAGAGGAGGGACTTTGAAAGTAACTTGAGCATACGGCTTTGCAGCCTCTGTGATGTTGTTCTCTCACTCCTCGCTGTGCCCCCAGAGTGCTGCAGTGCTCTGAGAGAGGCCTTGCTCTCTTGTCACGAGGTTTGACATTTTCTGTACATTTTAGATAACCTTCAAGGTCAGCTACCATTTCAGCAACATAAACAAAAGCATTCTGGAGTGTGAGTCACATCTTCCTTATGTCTTTCCTCCTGTGTTCTTTTTTTATCTGCCTCTGTGGTATGCACATCCTTAGCTGTAAATCAAGTAACAAGTGATTAGGTTTGCTAAGAATTCATTGAAATCTGCAATCATCCATTGTTTGAAACTTATAAGAAACCCTCTATATTAAATTGCTGAGGATTTGTGTTGTGTTTTTAAGAGTAAGTTCAAAGCTGTTTGAAGAAAAATAACTTATCCAAAATGGTTGACTGTAATCATAAGCCACATATTGTCACCAACATTGGAAATGCGGACCTCTGACTGGACCTTTCACTTACAACAGTTCATTTTTGCCAGATCACATTAATTTATCATTATGATATTATTATGTGGGGGTCTCATAAGAAGAGATAAAATAAAGACTTTATTAAGGAGAATGACAATATACAATAATACAAATTAACTGTAAAGTTCAATATCAATTGACAATGTGTCACAATTTCAATATGAACCTGCTTTTCAGTGGAGTAGATTGATTGTCTTTGTGGAACTGAAAATAGGTCTATTTAAAAAAAAAAAAATCTGATCATTATTATCTGTTTAGTCAAGCTCTCATATTATAACCTGACTTCTGATTATTATATCAGTACCTTTTAAAGTATTCTCTCTTGGAAGACCATCTTTCTAAGGAGAAACACTAACTGAACCGTAGAATCACTGATGATCAAAACCTACCTGACTGAATCAATTAAGGATTGACTACTCTTTCCAGATTTTGTTGTCTGGCACAATATCCTTTGGCTGACCACACAACTGTTGTCCAGAAACCTGACCATTTCTTAAGCTGAGAGAGACAGAGGTGAAGAACTGTTTACAAAAACAATTAGAGATGTAAAATATTCTGTGAACAAGAACTCTGCTACCAGGAAAAGTAACTGATCGCTAAGCTTCTTCTAGGCTTTAAAACCACTAATGTCGTCTTTTTTAATGTTGGAATTGAACACCTTCAGAATTCGCTACACACTTTCTCAGTTTCTCTTTCATTGTTGCTCTCAATGTCACTTCTGTCTTGAGGCAAATTCACCCTGTCCTCTTTTTCACACAGCAGTTTGGCCTTTGAAAACCCATTGGGAAAAATCTGTATATTAGCCATACATGGTAATTGGACTTAAGTTATTTACATGCACCGTGTTTGTGATTATATTCACCATCAAACTGCTTTGCAATAGAATCATATTGACCCAATTGCACTCATAAATGTGCACGCATTCGTACACAAACATGTAGATCACTAGGTAATTTGGGTTTAATTGCCTTACCCCGGGGACGCATCGACATGTCGCTGGATGGAGATGAAATCAAACCCACAGCCATCCAAATGCAAGAGGAGGATTCTTATTTTTGAGCCACAGAAAACTTGTGTAATTTTTCTAAATTAACACATATAAATACTGTATTAATCCCCTTGAAATGACAGTAATTTCTCTCATTTTTAAAAACAAAGTCCAGCTAAATTCACATCTGTTCAGTTTAAGTCTGCTTGCTGTAATTATGGCTTGCTTCATAAACATTGTTGAAATCACTGCTTAGTTGTTGTTAATATTAAACATTATGGACTGGATGTTTCTTCATTCCTTATTTCAACTTCCAAAGTTAGCAACCATACTGTCCTACTTCTAGACTTGAATTGCAGCTGGAAGGCAAATTCATTTCCCCCCTTGTTGTGACAGAGAGAAATTAGGAACAAGTTATCCAAGGCCTTTGTGTGATGAGGAAAAACATATTTGTCAGAAAAGCT